ATGGAATATACATACATTCGTTCACAATTTCTGTTCGTGCCGTTTCGTATGGATGTGTGCATAAAAATGGTTTTGCTGTGCCTTTCACAATTTCGCTTTTATTTTCATTTTGTATTTTATATTTATTTTTGTATTCTTCTCACGCCATCTTCCATTAATTCAGCCGTCAGCAAATAGACAAAAGGCCTTGCAACAAAATGGACTTGCGGCAGTCATTATTGGGTAGTTATTGTTGTTGCGAGTGCCAGGGAATAAAACAAAAGTGAGCATTAAGCCAAACAATAACAGCCAGGCTAGCAGTCGGCCGGGCTGGCCGTGTGGTGGGCGGGCGAAGGGCACACCGCACGGTCAGAGTGAAACAGGGAATGGCAACGTGCGCGGCGCCCATGCAAATTCAATAAATTAAGGCAACGGCCATTAATTATATTTTAAATTACAATGCACACACACACACACATACACACATACATTGGCAAGTTGTGCTTGCGCTTGCGCTTCTGCTGAGCCTGACAGAGAGAAAGTTGCACCCATTCAGCGGGCAAATTGTCGCTGTTTATCGCCTTGCACCAACAGCGCGCAAACAATGAAAGCAAAAGCAACGACAATAACAAACTGACTGCCAAGCCGGCCATTGTTGCTACTGGAAACCACTTGGATGGCGCCATGCATCCCAGGCTATGTATATGAGGGAAAAATAAGAGGAAAAGCTCAAATAATAAGAGCACAAAAAATACAAGAAGAATCTTTAATACCAACTTCAACTTTAGCTGCTGCAGCAGCCTCTGCCGCCGCTGCTGCTGCCTTTGCTGCTGCCTCTGCTGCCTTCTGCTGTCAGTGGCAGCTGCAGTGCACTGTGATGACTGCTGGCCCATTAGCGGCGCGTAAACAATGGCCAAGGCTGTTGACAATGCCGGCAAGCCATTAAGGCTGACGCAAGCCGTTGACCGCTAACGTGTTAACTGCAGCGAGCCAACTTTTTAATTGGTTTTAAGGCACGAGTGAATTTCCATAAGGCGAGGGCGGCGGGCTCAACTGCCATCGGATTGCATTTAATTTGTCTACTTCTTGGGCTTGGTTCGTTTGCCGCGCTTCGGCTTCTTCTTGAAGGGACCCAGGCCGCGTCGCACCATGGTGCCGCGCCACCAGGCCTGCAGCCTGACGGCGCACTCGATGCGATGCACCTCCAGATCGTGCAGCCGCTGCTCCTCCTCCTTCCGGGCCGTATACTCGGCAACGAACTGCCTGTGCTGGGCGTTCAGCTCGCGATGATGCGCTAGCAGCTTGTTCTGCTCGAGGATGCGGAGCTGCCAGGCCTCCGTCTCGCGCTCAACGCGTCGCATCTCAGTGGCATAGCGCTGCTGCCAGTGCTCAATGCGCTGCCTGAGGTCGGCCAGCTCGCGACTGCGAAAGGCGCTCAGCTCCTGACCGACGCGCTCCTCACGTGCCAGACGCTGCTTGTAGTCGAGTATGTCCCGCAAGTAGGCTCGCTCGGCATTCTCGCCCCAGATCTGGGCCTGGGTCACGCGCGCCGCCTCCCAGCGCTCGACCAGGCTGAACTCCAAGTCGTTGACCCGCGAGACGCACTTCAGATTGTACTTGGCATCGGCGATGCGTTCCTCCATCTCCTTCAGCTTGGCCGCCCCGTCGATTTCCAGCTGCTCCAGCTCAGCCTTGAGCTGCTTCTGCTCGTCCTTGGAGCGCTGCAGCTCCTTGATCGCCACAGACTCTTCGCTGTTGTTGCCGCTCAGGTCACTAATCGCCAGCTCCAGTCGACTGGGCTTTTCGCTCTCCAGCTCCTCCTGGGTCATGAACAGCTGCTCGTTGGCGGCCATAACAAAAGCGCGCAACGCGTCCAAATCTCGTTCGTATTTCAGGGCATCCAGCACACGCTCGTCCACCTGGACGTCATCCAGATCTGTGTCGCCCAGCAAGGACTCCAGCCGCGGCAGCTGCTTGCCCGTGAGCAGCACGCGCTGAGGCAGCGCCTGCTGCCCAATGGAGGAGCTGCGCAGCCTGCGCAAGGAGGCGGGCAGCCGGGACGGCGGCTTTCGCATATTCAGGCGCTGCGAGCGCTGCTGCAGCACCAGCTTATCAATGGTCTCCTTATAGGTGACAGCCAGCATCAAGCGCCTCCACTCAGCCTGCTGCTCCTCATCGAAGGCCTCCATTGTGACTGGCTGCAGCGGGTCGTGTGAGGCGCGGCTGCTTGGCTGCCAGGCTACTTTATCGATATCGCATGTCTGAGGTTGCCAAGGCAACTGTTGTTTGGCTGAAAGTAATGCAACTGTCTCCGTCCTCTTCTGCTTGGCCAAGCGCCAATGGGTACGCTACGCATTCGCCGTCGTCGTTCGTTTACGTGCAAAAATGCCAAACTCGTGCTGGCGCCTTTATGGGACAGCAATAGCAGCAGCAGGAGCAGCAAGAGTAGCAGAGGCATGAGCATGAGCATGAGCAGTCTCGGAATTTATCTTTGTCTCGCGAGCTCTGCTGCTCTGCTGCTCCATTGCCAGCCATTGCGGCGGTTCCTCTTGGGTTCATTCACTTCTTCAGCCAGCCAACTAGCCTCTGCGTCTTTGCACAATCTACATGCCCTGCTCCCAGCCGCCTCCAGCTCCTGCTGCCCAATAAGCCCTGCGCCGATTGCAACTTAAGTTATTGGCACACAAGGTGGCAGACCCGCATTACAATTAAATTATCGCGTTAACCGCAAAACCTGCGCACAGCTGCGCGAAGCTTTTTCCACCATGTCAACAGCGAAAGGGCAAACAGCAAACGCAGACTGGAGATCGGTGAGAATATGCGACTATTTGATATCCTAGGGATTAACTGTTACACTGAAAATCAAGCAAATACAAATAAATATTGTCTTAAATTATTAAATTAATATAAAATATAAATATATCAATTTAAAAATTAAATGGTTCTGTACTTATTTCAGTCAAGCCTGCACTTAAATTATTCACAATTCCTAACTATATATAAAATGAGAAAATTCAATCAATATCTAGTGGTTGAACTTTTGCACCACAGTTCAAGCAGCGGCCCTTTGAAAGGCAGTCGCGAGTGGTCATTGGCAGCGCAGGCTCTATGAATGGAGCGCTATGAGAAATTGCCAGAAGTACACACACATACACACACACACACACACACACACACACACACACACACACACACA